GACCCATGGGAACTGTATTAAAGGGCTGCAGTATTAAGGTTGAGAACCACTGATCTAGGGAGATGTACCCAATTGTCTCTAGAAAAGGTACTATGAAATCAGGATATAATACAGAGTTATTATTCAGTTTATATTCAGTATGTTTACCATCATGGTAAAAAAGAAATAGGGGGCTTAGGAGGAGAATAAGATTATAAATAAGAACATTTAATTTCTCTCAAAGAACTAGGACAATAAGAGAACACATACTTAACTAAAAACAAGAGAGCAACAAGTTAAAAAACAAACCAGTAATTACACTACACTACAAATTATAAGCAAAAGTGCCATTGGGACTGATTGAGATCTAATAGGATCTGTACACTCCTCAGAAAACTTTCTGGAAGAGATAACTTTTAAATTAGGATCCCAACTGAAAGTAATCAACCCAATATTTGGTCAAAATCCATTAGGCATCAAAAGATAGCCACTTTCTAAGCAAAAAAATCATTGACTTAAGTTTTTTTTCTTTTTTTCTTTTTTTTAGAGACAGTCTCACTTTTGTCACCCTCGGTGGGGTGCCATGGCATCACAACTCACAGCAACCTCCAGCTCTTGGGCTTAGGCAATTCTCTTGCCTCAGCCTCCTGAGTAGCTGGGACTACAAGCACCTGCCACAATGCCCAGCTATTTTTGTTGTTGTTGTTGTTGTTGTTGTTGTTGCAGTTTGGCAGAGGTGGGGTTCAAACCCGCCACCCTCAGTATATGGGGCCGGCGCCCTACTGACTGAGCCACAAGTGCCACCTAACTTAAGTTTTTTTTCTTAGTGAAAAAGAAACAGCTAGAAGATGAAGTTGAATTATTTTCAAGGACTAGGCGGAGCTGCCTAATTTCTTTTCAGGCCACAAAGCAGATGTATCTTCACCCAGGGAATCTCCCAACAGAATTTGCCCTTCAGCTTCAAATCAGAAGCTCTGATGAACGACTTACTTCCTGGCAGCCAATGGTGGAGAATTACTTGTCACAAGGTCACCAAGCCCTCCAGAGAATTCATTTAGGTAGAGTAGAAAAGAACTTAAGGTTTAACTTGTGTCAGAAATTACCA